ACGTTTTGAGAGAGTGTATTTGAGTTGTAAGTTGATGTTGATGAGTTAAAATTGTTTGAAGTTGTAGTATTTATAGGAGGTTTTTATAAAAAAAATAATAAAAAATTAAATTAAATGGAAGTAGCCGTTGCCAGCTACCCCACTTTCCCATTGGTCACCGAAACTCGACATATATTAACCGAGAGATTGAGCCGAGCTCGTCATACCGAGGGGTCGGCCTGGTATGCATCGAGGTTGTCGAGCCCCTCGCCGAGCCCACACCCACCAGTCTTACAAGAAGAAAAGGCATATTTTGCTTATCGGTTTATTCTTTTTGTTTGTTTCTAATTATCTTTCACATATACCCAATCATAGACGTGTTCAAAAATATCCGTATTCGAAAATCTGATGTAAAATTAAACAAAATTTCGGAAATCCGAAAATTAGATATCCGATTTTTCGGATTTGGATACGGATATCAGTTTTTTAAATTTCCGGATATTTTGGATATTGATATCCGAAAAAAATATATTTATATTGATTTTTTAAATATTTTTTATTTCAAATTATAATAGATCGGGAGAGTTGGATTTTGTTTAAGGACACTGCTTATGCCTTTTTATTTAGTTTTTGAGTTTTTCCCTTTAAATATTTGCTATTTAAAAATATATATTACCATAGTATATTTCACCTAATTGGTTAATTAGTCAAATGAAAAGGAAAACAATCTTGGTTTATAGTGGATAGTGTCTAAATTTTTTTTTTTTTGAGAGTTTAGTATTTTCGGATATCCGATTTAATATCTCAGTCCGTATCCAAAATTTCAGATACGGGTTTGGATATCAATATGGCGATATCTACTATCTAAAATTTTTGGATATCCGGATTTGAACACCCTAATACACACTATATATCACAAAACAAAAAATATGATACCTCAAAAGCTAATTGATCAATATCATGCACATAGTGTTGTTGTAAACATGATGTATTGTCTACTAGTCGTGAGATACAATAAGAGCACCCACAACGCTTCTTACAATCTTCTTTCAAAGCACATATGGATTTGATTTGAAAGCCAACTCAACGTATCCCTTTTTTCAGCAGGCTTGTGTGACAACTGGCAGTTCTGGGTCATTTAAAGTCAACAAGTCAACAAAAGTCAAACATGTCAACGAAAGTCAACGGATTAGGACGTAAATCTGTGGTTTACACTTTGCTTTTAGAGTTTTCGGTTTAGGACCGAAAACACTATGATCTCGCTTTTAGAGTTTTCGGTCTAGGACCGAAAACACCATGATCTCGGTGGTACTTGGACCGAAATCACCATGTGATTTCAGTGGGCTTAATGATGTTTTCGGTTGGAACAAAAAAAATAGTTGACTTAGTGACATGAGTTTTGCATCCTTTCCAACACAAAACATTAACCAACATGTATCAAGGCTATTACCCAACAAATAACAAAGCAAACATCACTTCACCCCCACCCTCCCCCTCCTACCCCCCCCCCCCCCTCATTTAAGGTTCGGCCGAGAGGGGTATCCTTCGCCCCCATCATCTTCATTCTTCAACCTTCTCTCAAGAACAAGTCCAAGTCCTCCAAAGATCAATACTTCCAAGTTAGTTCTTAGGATTTTTGGTAAACATTCCTTATTAATCTAGTGTTTCTACACATTTTCATACTAGTTTCATCTCATTTACACACATTATCATGTGTTCAAACCCATAGGATAATATAATCTTCAACCACCTTCAAGTGTTCTAAGCTTGAAGATCTTCACCATCACCTCTTTATCCAACCATGAACACACTCAAGGTGAGTTCATACCCCCATATTTTTGAGTTTTTCATGTTTTAGGGGGGGGGGGGGGGGGGAATACAAGAAAAGTTTGATTTATAACACAAATGTTTGCATGCTTCATAATCTATATTGTGTTTAAAGCATTTTTCTTCATGAAATGTGGTTATTATTTGTTTGTATAACATCTATTTGTGTTATGTTGGTTAATGATACAAAACTAAGAAAAACAAACATAAACTATGTATATGTTCTTTAGAAAAGGGTTAAACCACAAAGCTACAAGGATTTTAAGACTTTTAGGGTCAAGATATGGTTTTTCTAGCAAAAGTGGTTAGATTCTAGTCATTTCACCACTTTTGGTGGGATATAACCCAAAATATGTTGTTTTGACCCTACATTTTAGAAACTAAACAAAAATACCAGAGTGTTAGCTGCACAAAGAAAAAAAAACCCAAAAATCTAGTATTTTATGTAAAATGGATTTTTAACCAAACTGGTTATAACAAGTTTATGACATCATTTTGTGGGTTTTAACTAGAAATATATGGTTTTAAAAATCATAAAGTTAACTTGAGTAAAAAACCGAAGAAGGGTAAAAGTAAGTTTTACCAAGTTATATTTGTTTTGTCACCGATAAATATCGTTAAAAAGGGGCAAAAGCTAGAAATTAACTTTTTCATACCAATTTCTCATACTTGTGTTAGATGTAAGTTTATATGATATAATCTCTTAAGAACATCTAGATAAGATAACTATTACGTATTTATATAAATGATTATATAAATAGACTTAACAAAACAATCATAATAAACTATAATTGGTATAGTTTGGGAGTCACAAATACTACTTTATCCTTTCGGACGAAACATATAATTATTTAAAGGTATAATTATTTTTACACTATATAACCACTATGGAAGGGTAATACTTTCATTTACAAGAAAAAGGGTTTTCATTACACTAGACGTAAACCGGTTAATACAATTTTGTGAGACATGACTTCACCGTACCTACCAGAGTACACACTAAAGACTTGAATTATAACCAGAGTCTCGGTAAGAGAGCGTGACACTTGTGTATAGATCTATACGGAACTGACAACCCCTCACCCAATCTGTTAGCTACAGTTAGACCGGCAGGTCTAGGGTGACAAATGTCTAACATTCCGACGTCTGAAGAACGTCGTAGCAGGCCACTAGTCGCTAGCACGATTATAATAACTCACATGGAGTGTTAACAATAAATTTGGTTTACGGGGTTAACATACATTCAATAAGTTGGATATAAAGATAAAACTTCATAATAGTATTTTCCAGTACAACACTACTTACATTTTTGGTCTTGGGCTTAAGACTTACAACTCATTTTTAAAGAAAATATTGGATTTTCTGAAAGCGCACTCTATCATTTTACAAGGAAAAGTTACCGATTTTTCGCATATAAACTCTTATGAACTCACCAACTTAATTGCTGACACTTTTTTCAAAGTCACTTGTATTCTCAGGAAATCAGTAGACAGGTAACCAAAAAGGTTTTGAGGATGGGGCGTCGTAACGTCACGTCATTTACTTTTGTCATATGTATTTGGTATCAAGTAAACAATGTTTTGGATACAATGTAAACTACTTAATTATCAATATGATGGTTGTATGGATTTGATTACTATTATTCATTATGTTATGATACTGTACATGAAGTCATCCACCCCCAGACGTTTCCGCCGTTCTAGTTTGGGGGTGTGACAGCTTGCAAAGCACAAATGGGACCTATCATCTTTATATATCAATATACTTATCTACTCTAATAAATGAAAGTTTTTTTTTCCACTTGTCACACTCTCATTCAATTTGTCAAATGTTATTTTGTGGTTATTTTGAATTAATTTTTATTCCACATGTCATTTTATGGTTTTTCTATTTTATTAATTCCACATACTATTGAAATGCAATAATAAATGCATATTAATTTCTTTATAAACTTTCCTTTTAATTTTAAAATTACTAAATTAAAGCTTCATTAATTTCCTTTATTTATTTATCTAAATTATTTGTTTAAATGTAGTGAAAAAAAACACTTTAATTTTTATAATTCAAGACTTTTCTCATTTTTCTTATAAATTCAAACTGCTCAGATGTTTAGAATTTGATATTTAGTTTTTTTTTTTAAAATAAACTCATGTAATACATGAGTTTCATACCTAGTTTATATTAATATTCTAATTAATTAATTTCCTTTGTATTATTTTAGTAACAATATGTTTGATCACTAAATTTTGTTTTCAACATCCTTTTTTTTTGCAGATTAATCATCAAATTCATTATTATTTGATGAGTATGTATTTTAATTATTGTTTGTATTTAGATTACACACGGTCATTATTCATAGTATTTTATTTTTGAATTAATAGTAAAGTAAATATTTTATATAAAAATAAAGAAGTTATTGATGTGGCAGCGAGGACCACATGTGAAAGAAGATTGGTATTGCACTGATGTAGAGATAATTATAAAATCTAATGTGACACATTTGAAAGACTAGTTGTATTGCACTGATATGGATGATCTAAACATCCTAACCAAAAGACTAAAGTACATTGCTATGTAGTGCAAGTCTGAAGAAAAAAAAAGTGTGTTGCTATTTAGTGTAGCTCTAAAAAAAAGACATTCTTGTACATCATGTTAAAGCAAAACACCATCTTTTTCACCAATTTCTTCATCTCCTCAACCTTCAATTCATTCAACTCTTTCACCTCCTTCAATTCCTTCCCCATAAACTCCTTTTATTATCTTTCATTTACTTTCTCATTCAACACCTTCAAATCCATCATAAAACTATCCCGATACAAGAATAATTTGCAATAACCTACATAAGAAACAAATGCCATATTTGCAATAACCTACATAACAAATAGATGTAATAGTAGCATTAAACAATTGGCTTTGTGTGTCATTCAAACCTCCCCTTTTTCAGTTGATTTCAACTCCTTAATCAACTCAAAGTGGATACTTCACAAACATTAGATAACTCAAAATGGGTACTACTTCACAATCCCAAAAATTCATATACTTGTTGGTATCTAAGTAATTGAAGTTATAATTGAAATTATTAACTTTTCTCTAGGTAGTTCATAAATCTTTAGAACATACAGATTCTCAATACAAAGTTTATCAACATCAGTATACAAATCGACTGTATGTATTTTACACAAATTTGTCTTTAACCCTTGGTTTTAACTTTTAACACAAAACATACAAAGTTTATGTTTTCAAGTTTGAATCTTGCAAAAGACTAAAGTAACAAAAACACATCTAGTGATTAAATAGCATACAAATTGACATAATTAATGTTCATTGATGATGAAATTGTTGGTTTGATTTTGTTGACCTAACAACAGATGAATAGTAATGTGATTCCATTTCCTTAAGGCTAGCAGCAGCATCTTCACCAATTCTAGCTAATATTTTATCAGTCTTTTCAGCTTGATGGTTTAGTTCCTCTGTTCTCTGTTCCACATGATCATTCAATGATGCAAATCCTGAAAATATTGCGGTTTGCTTCAACTCTGATACTAATTTCAGCAAAGAATCCGCTGCTTGTACCTGTTGTTTAACAAGTTGTACATTCCTTTCCATCATTAGTTGAAAAAATGTGATGATTGTATTAATTTTTCTTACCATTCTTGATGCACGCACTTCCATCATGAAAGCTTCTTGTGAGTTTCTGACAGGAGGATCATTGACCTACAAGACAATTCAGAAGATGGAATGGAATGAGTTATTCCATTCCATTCATTCTCAGATTCCATCATACCAAACACTAACTGATAACAATTCTTTCTTGAAGGAAACAAGATAGAAAGTTTACCCTTGCAACATTAACAACAATGCTGAAATTGTCAACAATACTTCCAATATCATTATCAACTCTCTGCTGCAAAGATTTCTGTTTTGGGCAGCAGCAGCTGCTGCTGCAGCTGTGGGACCACCTGCCCCACTTGTGCCACCACCTGCCCCTCCTTTGTTCATTGTAAAATTGAGTCTGTTACATAAAAGATCAATCAATATAATGAATTCATCACTTCAATTCTCCAAACAAGTAAAGACATAACACAATCTCATGGTTATCATGTGATTAATCAAAAACAGGACAATATAAATGCAATCACAGACTTTGAGATGGAGAACAACGATAATCCCTTCTTTGCAAAGTAGCGTTGAGTGTGATCAAATATATCAAGTGATTAATCAAAAAATATCAATTTTCCCAGAGTCTATGCTTTGCTTTCACAGATAAAGTTAATATACATAGACAGAAAACAAGACCAGTAATGGGAGTTATAAAATTATTTTGTGTCTGTCCTACGCCTTAACTCCCTTCACTTCTCAAAACCCTAATGATTAATGCCAGTGGCATAATCACCATAGACCGGATGCACAGAATCAAACAATTTAATTAAACAATTTATGCAAAAGAAGGATCTCTTGGAAGTCTATTTTTTATTTTAGTGTAGAAAAAGGAAAAACATACCGGAAGTCTGGAGGTCTTGCCACTCCGAGTCGGAGCCTAGGGTTTTCAGGTATTGTACAGGAACTGAAGTGTTGCCACTCGGAGCCTAGGGCTCGGAGCAGAGGTCCGTCGCCGCCGTTGAGGGTGCGAAGTTTCAGAGTTGTGCGCCTTGTCGTCGTCTTTTGGGAGGCGGAGAACGAGACGAGAGCTCCGTGCCTCTGGAATTTTTCTAATTTGGGTGACAATAAAAACATAAATATCCAATAAATCTAAAATTTTGGCTCATTTTGAGTTTTAATTTTAAAATAAACTTTTTTTACGAAAAGGTTCTAAAAACCGGTAAAAGATTGCATTTTGATCCTTTTTAACCTGTTGGAACCAATGTTTTAAAAACCGGTTTGAATCGGCCGGTCGAACCGGTTGGACCGGGAACCGGGAGAAGGAGCGGTTCAACTATTACCGGTTTTACATTGATTTCTGAACCGAATTGAACCGGCCGGTTTTTCGAAAAACCCAGTTGAACCGGTTAAACTTAATAAAAACACATGAAAAATAAACTTTGGTGATTTTTTTCAAATAAATTTAGTTTTTTCTAAATAAAAACATATGGTAAATGTTATAAAGTTTTTTGATGTGTTTGTATTCATCTAAAACTATATTTCGTTTTGGTATTATACTTTAGTTTCTTTTTGACGTATATGGATTGATGTAAAACACTAAAACTTATGGTTATGTGTTATTTTAAGGTATTTGGATTCATCTACAACGTATTTTTATGTGTATTTTTAATGTTTAAACTTGTAAATATCAAATTCATACTTTATATATGTATGTATGTGTAGGAAAATAGAAAAAAAACATGAAAACTATAGAAACCGGTTCACCGGCGGTCGAACCGGTTAAACCGGTTGAACCGTGAACCGGTCACCATACCGGTTCAACTAAAAAACCGGTTTTTAAAACATTGGTTGGAACTTGTTACAAATTAATTTGGGAATATTTTATAAACTGATCAAAAATATTGTAACTTTTCTACAAACAAAAAATTTATTATTAATATTATTATTATTATTATTATTTTATTAAAAATATAAATAAATATACTATTTTTTAAATTCGTTATTATTAGTATTATAGTGAAGAAACTGAGATTGTAACACTTTGTTGGTGAGATTGTAACACTTTGTTGGTCAAGGGCTTTGTGATAACACACAGCCAATGATGGAGAAGACGAAAGGGAAATGTCATATTGAGGGGGTCATTTATATAAAAAAAAAAAAGGATTTACGGTAATAAGTTAGAAGTTATACTGCAGTTTTGGTCCTTAAACTTAAACAAAAATGAAGATTAAATTTCACGAATCGTCCTTAGCGCAAATGATGAAAGACATGTTTGGTCATTATTTTCAAAAATTAACTCGAACCGTGCCTTGTATGTTTAAAACTTGAATGCTTCATCCCTGAATGACGATTTTGTTACGATTTTAGTCCATTCCAAATTTAAAATGACCATAATGCACTTTGGGTAGTTATTTTTCGGTCAATATGATAATATTTATTATTATTGATAAATTGAAAGGAAATAGGGCCCCACTCCCACCACCTTTCACCCCTACCCTCATCTTAGAGTAGTCGGTATGCGTCCCGTTGAGACTCGTTGTGGCAGACATGGACGCCAAAAAAGGTGTTGCATCTCGTTGTACACCCCCCCCCCCCTTCTTTCTCGTTATGTGGCATCTTGTTGGCGTTACAACATATCAAAACGCGAACTAGGAACATTTCAAAATCATTTTTCTTCCTCTTTCTCTCTTTCTCTCTCTACCTTTTTCTACCTCTTAACAAGTTATAACATTGGAACATCATTTCCTACATGGTGTTATGGTGGTGTTAAGGTTGATGTGGCATGTAAGATGGCGTTATAACATCGGCCCATACCGAACGCTCTTACCCATCCATTATCCTCTTTTATGCATTTCTCTGGTCCTACTCTCATCATCTTCTATTATCACCCCAATTTGCACATTTCACCTCTAGATCCAAAAATTGAAAATCCTAAAAAAAAAAAAAAAAAAAAACTAAAACATGTAACCCACATGGTTCTAGAAATCCAAAATCATTTTAGAAATCAAACTCAAAATAAAAAACAAACCAAAACCCAAATAGTTCCAGAAAATCAAAAATGGTCGTAAATCCTTTTTAAAAACTTGTAAAATCATAGCTTTTAGAAAAGAGATCCAGAAAAAACATGCAAAATCAAAAATCACCCATTATTTTATTTTGTCATTATCAGTAGATTAAATGTCAAGTGTCGGTAGATTATTTGTCGTTATCGGTAGATTAAATGTAATATGTCGAATGTGACGTAAAGTAGGTAAGATGTAACATAAAGTGTATAACCTTTCATAGTCTAGGGGCTATATTGTAAATAGGTTTGTCGTATTGCAGTCATGCGATTGCAATTGTGTAAGTTTCAATTATGTAACCAGCTCTCTTAGAGTCTTTGCTCGTATGCAATAAACAAGAGTTTTTGAGTGTTTAAGACTTGAGTTGATCTCAATCGTCTTCCTCTGTTGAAATAGTTTTTCTATTTCTGAATAGCAGAGTGTCTATCCAAAGTATCCAAAACCATCCATCTAATCATCATCAAGATCAATCCAACGCATCATTCAGGTATAATCATTAACTTATATTATCTTTTTTCTCATCGTGTTGGCAATTACAATTACACCAATTTCATCCATATCTCAGATACATCAAAAGCGCCAACAATCATATATCAGACACATTAACGAGAGAATGGAAGCCATCGTGAAACAACAACAACAGTTCAAACAAGAACAAAAAGCATTTATACATGGAAGAAACACCATTCATGGAAGATTAACATAAATACGTCAGCCGTGACTAAAGCAAACATTATTCAAAAAAAATATTTGTCCTTTTGGTGGCGGGATGATTGACGCACGCAATGACGCATGAAACCATTATTATTGAAGACATTATTGAAGACATATGTAATCTACCGATAATGACAAAATAAAATAAATTACAACAGAGGAAGAACATCGAGATCAACTCAAGTCTTAAACACTCAAAAACTCTTGTTTATTCCATACGGGCAAAGGCCCTGTTTATAGGCTCTAAGAGAGCTGTTTACATAATTGAAACTTACACAATTGCAATCGTATGATTGCAATACGACAAACCTATTTATAATATAGCCCCCTAGACTATGGAGGGTTATACACTTTATGTTACATCTTACATACTTTACGTCACATTCGACATATTACATTTAATCTACCGATAACGACAAATAATCTACCGACACTTGACATTTAATCTACCGATAATGACAAAATAAAATAAATTACAAATCCTTCCACAACGAAAGGACATGTGTCTTCAATAATGTCTTCAATAATAATGGCTTGATGCGTCATTGTGTGCGTCAATCCTCCCGCCAGCGAAAGGACATATATTTTTGTGAATAATGTTTGTGTGTATGGAGATCAACTCAAGTCTTAAATTATGTAACCGGCTCTGATACCAGATTTGTAGCTTATTTTATTTGGGAAATCTTCAAAATAGTCCCAAACTTTTGGGAAAAGTTACACTTTTGTCTCAACATTTTTTTTAACAAAAAAACCCAGGAAACCGAGTAAATTGAACATTTCGGCCATATTTTACCGGTGACCTTCATTTAGCCGGTTAAATTGGCTTATGTGGCAAGGACTTGATGAGGTGGTTGGTGAGTCATTTAATGGCCTTGTATTAAACTCTAAATATAGTGGAAAACTTCATTCGTGCCATAGCAGACAACGATTGAAGCAGGAGCAGTGGAGGACCAAGACAAATGTCTTCTTCGTCTTCTTCGTCTTCAATGAATCGTCTCAGAAAGAGGTGCTACTGTGGTGATCCTGTAGGAAGATGGACTTCATGGACTCCATTAAACCCAAGAAGAAGGTTTATAGGATGCCCAAATTACCAGAATGGACTCAAAGATTGCAAGTACTTTCGTTGGGTGGATCCTCCTCTACCAAGCCAGTGGTATGCAGATCTGTTATTAGTATTACACAACAATGTCAATTTGGAGAACCATCGAACGTTTGGGGAGTTTGGGCAAGAACAACTAGCTGGGAACTTTTTTTGGAGACGTTGTGGAACAACCAATGGCACAACAACCAGTTGCACAACAAGCAGTGGAAAGAGGAAGATGGAAATCATTGCTTTATGTCTCTGTGGTTTCTTTTGTGTTTTTGTTGGTTATGTTGATGGATTGATAGGATAGAAAGTTGTTTTAATGTATTTTGGTTGTGTTTGTTTTGGTTATGACTAAGGGTTGTTAGTTTACTATGAATGTAGTATCTTGTGACTCATATGATTATGAATGAAGTATCTAGTTTATGTATGAACTTTAAATGTGTTGATTGTAATCAATGAATGGAATCAAAGTATGACTGTAATAAGTTAATAATGGACTTAATACACAAACGAATCAATACATAATGGAGTCAATCATGCATGACTGGAATCATGCATGACCGGAATCAAGCATGACCGGAATCATGCATGACTGGAATCATTCATAACTAGTATCCATATAAGCAAACATTGTAAGCACAAGTAATGTATGCATGACTGGAATCTATAAAACAAGGAATCAATATAACCAAAGGGAACATAAACATTGTTAATCATAGAACATGTAGTAATATTAACCAAAGCCAAACAAGTTTTATGGCAAGTTGTGTAAATGCCCAAAAACATGACCAAGGGGCCCAAAGCCTATAGTTTATATGGATGTAAACAAAAGGGGCTACCAACAAAAGAGGCTATCAACAGTAGAGGCTTATCAACAAAAAGGGCTATCAACATTTGCCCAAACCCAAAGTTTTATACATGTTCTTAACAAAAGTAGGGATTAGAAACACCCTAATCTAGACTAAGGGGGTTGGATGAACTCATCCCCTTTCCATTCTTGACAGCTACCACCTTTTTCAACTTGATCTTTGTTATCCTTTCCGAAGGCTTCCTCCTCCTGACTTGATTCACTTTGCTCCTCTTTGTAGGCCTCCTTCTGACTTGATTCAATTGTTGTGTGATAGGTATTTCTCTCTCACCATCCATCCTTTCCTCATTCATCATTACCTCACCCATCCCTGGCTCATCTATGCCATCCTCCTCATTCATCCTTTCCTCATCTCCAAGTGCTTGATTTGTAGGGAGTTCTTCAACTGTTATTTGGCTAGCAA